TTTCCGTATTAAATTTCCAACACACTCCGGTGTCTAATTCAAGCGACAACGCTCCGCCAGAGTCTCGATGGTAATATTTTAGCGTTGCATTCGCAAATAGCAGCGGAATAATCGGGTGTGGAGTAATGAACACAAGCCCCGGGCCCAGGAGTTTAATTTTCCTTTTCCGCACGACCGTCCCGCTAGCCCCGGCTCATTAATGGTGCGACAATACCTCGCGCCTCGTCATTTGCACCCGCGCGACACTCCCCCCGCACGCTTCTCGCAAGCTTCTCGCACGCTGCTTGCACGTTGCCCGCAAGCCGTCGCTACGTAGCACCCACGCCGGCCGCAGGACGTCGCATAGCCGCGTTGACTGCGTCGAACACAACAAAAGGCACCGTAGTTGAGCCTCAGCCTTGTTACGACTAACAAATACAAAATACCTTTTCTCGAGACATTATTAATTCTCATTTCATTCTTCTTATGAGAATAATTTAATTGCAGTACTTTACCATGACAATGAAAATAGACATTGTTCTAATAAAATGTATAAAGTTATATTTACTATAATTATGTAAACTACTCGTACAACAAGTAAACAATAGCATTTAATTAGACAATTTTCCGAGTTGAACTGCAACATCGGTCTCATGAATGAATCATAGCGATCGTGTCCCTAGACCTCGGCGGTCGTATTCGATTAGCACGAATAATTCCGAAAGGGAAATTGAAAAGCTAAAGCGATGCCCTGAGGACTTGCTCTTTCTGTTATTTGCGGCCAGCCTACGCCGCTCCCTGAATACTCAAATAGAATCACTGTCTCTACACTACATTAACCTCTCATATTCATACGAACTTATTGAACCTTAATATTACATTTTATACAAATTATCAAATCTTTTCTAACTTCACTTTTTATAATAGCAAATTCATTTATTTAAATTTAGTAAATTTCTAATACTTTTACACATAATGTAACTACAATTGCTTAGTATGCAAAATTAATCCCCAGTACATATTCTAAAACATTGTAGAGACAAAGAGAATTCTTCTAATTCTAGTTAGCGAAAAGCATTGGTTTGTATCGCACATTATTTGCTCTGTCTTCGGATCCAGTCGTGAACAGTAAATAGCCGTGGTCGGTCCCGTTCGGTAATCCTGTGTTAATTAGCAGTTGGTTTAGCGTGCACCGCTGGGACACACGGTCACCACAAACTTGGACAACCATTTCTAATATTTTCAGTTAAATTGTCTTTTGATAAATCTTAACAACCAAACTTTATAATCTATAAAGTCGTTTAATCTAAAAAAAATATTCAAACACAAAGTACAGACTATCTTATAACTATATCGAAAAGAAGACATTAACAGTTTACGTAGGATATTTGCTTTATCTAGGTTTAAATAAACTATATTAGGAATGAACTAAGTATCTGTTTACAAAATAGTTTAGTTCATCTGGTGAAAAAAAAAATTACATGATTTCTTTCTTGCCTTTTAATAGCATAGATAGCTTCCCTTAGCGTAGATTTGGTGTAGTAGAACTACACTTAACGAACACGTAAGGAAATAATGATAACGATATCTACACATTTGTTGTCCAGAACAACCGCCGACGCCGTGTGTCAATGTAAGCATCCCATTGTAATGTAAAGAAGTATCGTGTGCCGCATACGACCGGCTTTAATAAAATTGCTACCGTGTATGTTGGCGGAATTCATAATTATATGTTTAAATGGATAGTTTAAAACTAAACAATACAAAACATGATTACACATAAATTGTTTTTGGTCATCTCGGTAAACAATATCTTTAAATAAGTTAACGTAGAGATAGTTTAATATAATCTAATTTTACAATGTTACACCGCGGGGATTAGTGGGTAGTCCGGCCGATATACATATAATGCCGGGAGTCCCACTCGAAACTGTCCCTGCTGCCCCCGACGCTCGGACAATGCAGTGCGTAAATGCCGACAACAAAAACAACAAAAAAAAAGATTTATAATGTTTAAAAATAATTTGCTATTTTGTGAACAAAATTTTATAAATTAACATATTATTGGTTACTTGAAAAATGACTACAAGAGATATAGAATATAAAATAAACTAATGTAAGGCTATAGTAAGAACAACATTAAAATTAGAGAGAAATCTCAAGAGTGCTAGTTACATAAATCCAGTGGCGCCGGCGTTAATCCAAACCTAATTGGTGGTCAGAAGACTATTGGACTTGAAATGACAAATCCAATGTGATTACTGACACAAAGACACTCTCAGAGGACTAAACGAAACTAACATTAATTTTGCAACAATAAAAAAAGATAAAAAGGAAATATCTTACACAGAATGCCACGATATAGAAAATCAAAGTTTGAATAACATTTCACGGCACAATATAATCCAAAGTAAAGTCATCTTCGACATGAAAGAAACACATCGAAATTCTTAAGGGGAAAATATTACTTTGCAATCGGGAAATTCTTCGTTGAAACAACTCGCGGGGAGGTAACGTTCATTTCGACAAAAGACGAGCAATATTCCGTGCACAAAGGAAAGCACCCGATATATTCAATGCAGTGACACAAGAAATGGCGGCACAAAGCGGTAACAAAGCTCATATTGGAAGTTACATGGCGGTGGAGGCAGCGGCGCGGCGGACCGCTCACCGCTTTTACAAATACAAATATCACCGCTACATCTTAACTGTTTACGAATTATAACCTGACACGTTGAAATGTACGCGAATAGATCGTACCATTAAATATTATCAAAGGTAGTTTTTGACAATTTGTTACAGAATTTTGAATTGATTTTTGCAAATGTATGAAGGTTTCCAATACATAACAATAATTTATTTTTAATTCTTCTCCGTCAAATTGTACCCTTAAAGTGTTAAGCGTAAAAATCGATTAAATCTGTATTAATTTATGTTTATGATGGACATTTATCGTAATGATAAGATGTTGTTTTAAGTTATTTTAAGTCAATTTATGTTTTTTCTACTGAATTAACATTAGATTATCATTAAATTTTATCCCCAATTTAATGAAATACAAAAATATTATAAATACAGTAAAAATGTATTGATAAAGAAATAAGACTATTAAATATATACTCGTATTAACCATTTTTAAACGACACATTACATTCAATGATTTTTAAAGTATCGAGTTAGTAATTTATAAACTTTAAATTCTTGAATAAGTTTGTAAAAATATGTACGCTAATCTGTCCAGTATCGTAGAAGTTAAGAGTTTGAGAAATAATTCAAGAGGCAGACGCATGCGCGTATTTTACGCGCCACCCCTTGAGTATTACGACCGCCTCCCTCCGGAAAACACACCTGAAAATTGAACCTTCTGTACTCTAACACAAAGTTTTTCAGACAGCAATTTTATCATCTGAAGAAATTTTCGAACTCAACACGATCTTCAGTTCTAAAGCCGTCATTATTCTCGCGTAGGAAGAATTAGATTTTAGTAACGTGCTCTGCACTTTCGCACTCGCGGTCTTAGCAAGCTCGTCTGCTCTCAAGCGTATTGAAAATTGTCCCTTAGTTGTTTGTACTTTAAGGTACAGTTTCGTACAAAATTGTAATCTGGTGTAGGACGATAGCAGAGCAAAGGGTAGACTGCTCAGTCGTGTGCGAGCGTCGGCGGCGAGCGAACTTCGCATTGCGTCCGCAGTCGGGTCGCGTCCGTAACTTATTACGCCGCAACACCAGTCGTCCACTCTACAACATTTTCTCTGTGATTGTTTTAAGTAATGGCTATTACCTAGATATATATTTTCCCTTTGTTTTAAGTAATGTTTTAGTAATCCTTTGAATTCAAAGTAATGGAACTTTGCATTGTAAGTAAAAGTATTTTTAAATGTACCATCTATTGAAGTATGATACCTTTAAAGTATCTACAATTATTTAACTTATTCTACTGCCTTTTAAAGTTTTAAAGTGATGAAAAAAATTGTATTATAGTTATAACATTTAATTTTAGAAAGAATTAGTCAGAATAATTGTTAAACGAATAAATGAGTGAGAATGTAAATCGTAGCGTGTCGGGGCCCTGCGCGGGATCGCTGCGATCCTCGAATATTTGCCGTTTCGCCGACATTCCACAGTTAATTAAAGCCCATTTATACACTGTCTAGTAGTATCAAATTTATGAAATGAGAAAACATTTCTACACAAAACTCTTGATTAAATTATATCTTAAATAATTAAATGCAAGTACGAGTAGTTTTTAAAGTTTGTACAATTTCAGTTTCTTCAATCCTTTCCATATGTAATGTTCCACACGCGCGACTTCTACGTAAAATATTTTGAGTCATCGGGTTTTCTTTCTTAAGGTAGAGCGGCAGATAAATAACGGCCTACTCTCCACCTCCTTGTCGATTCCTATAAGCCCGCCTTACTCATCGCTCCGCCTACTTGTAGACAGTATATAATATACATATGTCACTTATATACTTTTCATAATTATATAAAGGTAAAATATTATTCGACAATTACAGCTGGGTTCCATCAAAGTTGTGACTACACAGTCAGTTTTTATGAGCAGTTGCTATAAAACTTTCAGTAGTTGTATTTACAATACATATACGCGTCTAATTACGTATTTTTGAGTACGTATCTATAAATATGGGATTTATAAAAAAAATGTCAAAGTCACTTAATAATATCCTAATTTGATATTAAGTAAAACATTGCTGTTGTATATTCCATACAACAAGCAACATCCAAAAACATAATTAACGTAGCGGGTGAACTTTCGCAGCTAAGAAGTCGAAACTCTGCACACAATGTTGAGAGAACATCGACCTCTAACAAGCCGGTCGTTCAAAGTTGTTGAGCGCAGGGAACTGCTACAGAATAATTTCACAGAGACGGCCAGCAACTAAGCAAACAGTTTTAAAGTGTTTACCGCTGCGGACAGTCCGGTAGGAACAAATGTGGACAGACTTGTGACCGCACGCGAAGCTCATATGTAGCTTCTAGAACATAACTGACATCGTGCGATGGATCCTCACTCCTTGACCCGGTCGCGACAAACGCCGGCTGCAAGAAACCATATCGTCTACACGGACCACAAGGGCAGAAAGTAAGTACTATATCACAAAATGCATCAATTAATTTCTAAATCGTTTTGATTGTTACACTCTGAGTGGGGAATTTAAACGTTTAAACCTAACAAATGACAGCTATTATTTCTCTCAATTTAGTCTAACAAGCAACTTGGAAAGGTTCGCCGAAACGCGGAACTCAATGGCCGTGAATTTTGTAATCTTCATTAATTTCGGCCGAGGTTCATTTGTTCCCCTCTAATATTGTTTGTCTCTTGCTTAATATCTCAGCTGCATGAGTTAATTGAATTACATGCGAACTTCACTTCAAAGGTATGGCCCAGCGGTTTATTTTACACAACTAATAACCGTCAATGTAAGGTACATTTACTTTAATTCCGTAAAATCTTTTAAATTTTAGTTATCTAACAAAATTATTAAAAACCAAATAATGAGTTATCATAATTTTAAGGAACATAACAAATAAAAAAAAGTCAAAACCACATTTAATAAAATTCCTTTATTAAAGAGACTATAATATCCAATATTACATCAAACTTATTAAAAAAGTCACATAATCCATTAACTACTATGTGTTTGTATTACATTTAAAGAATGTATTAATACGTACCGAAATATATAAGTTTTAAATTGTATTTAAAAACGCGTTTGGTTATTATAACGCACCGACTCTTATAAAAAAGCAAAAATTAATAGGAAATAGATTCTACTTACAACTTTATATGATAAAATTTTTTAAAGTTCACTCTAAGTTATTCTGTCTTTGGGAATAGAATTTTAAATCATGTTGGGGCCAAGAGCCACACTTATGTTTCTTTTTAACAATAGGAAGAAGTTATAATATTATTTCTAAACTATTTTACACAATTGGGAATGTCACACTTGGACGCAAACTAGACTTACCGTTCTTTAATAAAAGAAGATAACTACGGTTTCTAAAGTACCTTATTCTATGTTACTAGGTAGTCAAATTTACAATAGAATCTTGTTTAAAACTATTTTACAAATAGACGTATATTTAGTCAAAACATTACAAATAATTTTCAAACAATAAGATGACTAAAAGTCCAAATGTTTTGGCAGACGAAGCTATGAACTGAAGCTATTTTAATCTAAAGTTACATTCGGGGAGAACTTTTTACTTTTGAGTTGTACAGGACAGTTACTAACTTAGATATAAGTTATTACAATGCGAGGCGACAAAGAATTACAGTAAGAAAATTTGAATAGAAAGTGTTGTACGGTCCAGTTGGGTAAGGCAGTAGCCGTACGGGTGTAGGGTGGTGCGGGGTGGTGCGGGGCGGGCGGGGAAGTGCATGTGTGCAACGGAAGGACAACACAGTTACTTGTACAGTTTCCGTTAGTCACATTTTCGCAACAAGGTATTCACATTTCGAGTAGTGGAAAGTTGGCGTTATCGCATTTAAAATAGAACTACGGGCACATCTAACTTTGTGATGCAAAATGGACATGCTGAAACGACTTTGATGTTTTGAATTTAAAGACTTAGGGACTAGTTGTAACAACAGATAGTCCACAAACGATATATATCATGACTTTTAAAATTATTTACCGTAATTAAAAACATCACTTACAATGAGATAACGTAATATTATGTGTTTTTCATTCACATTTCGGAAAACTCAATGGAAACATCAAATCATTTTTCTATTTAGATTATTAACTTGGTGTTGCAATGCGTTAAAAATGCAAAGGATTAAAAATTAAAGTAACTTTAGAATACAGTAAGTTTAAAATCGTTAAAACGGAATGTATCTTAGTGCTTACACAAGTTGGAGGTCAAGAGTTACAACGTACTGACACCGACCTCTTAAAGCATGCTCGTTCCCTCGGCACGATGCGACGCTTTTCACCTACGACTATTTTACATTAGAATTTGCGTACAATAAACAAATTTCCAAGTTAAATAAAACTGAGTAAAAACTTGTACAATACCAAACTAAATTGCCAGATTAAATAATATACAGAAGAAATAGCATGTAATTAAAATAAATTTTATTTGATTTGGGTTATATTATTAGTGGACTTTGTATCTGGTTTGAATTTAAAATCTAAAACTTATCAGTAGAAGTAACAAATAAAAAAAAAAAACTAAATAAAAAAGCACTCTATCGAAACACTCCAACTTTGGCGAATGGATTAAGACTTTCAGCTAGTGTGTGACGGTGAATTTTTTTTTTACATTTTCATTCAAAGTCGTTCTCACGTCCCGAAGTCTGCTCGCTGCGAGTGTATAAGTAAGCGTAAGTGAACAAATTGATTTATTGAAGTTAAGCGGGTTTCCGAGTTGCGCCTGAGTATTCGCAGGCTTTTGCATTACACAGATAAAGAGGGAATAAAAAGGAAAGTTGTCAAACAAAAGTCCCCTTGTCGCGAGATTTACGAGCCGACGCACGTACCGACCCGGAGTTGTATTTAAATTATACCACGTTGTTTTCCTTCATGTTTAGATATACACTATGTTGTTAACTACCACTAATGGTAATAAATTATCAATACTTTATAGTTTTGATGTAATGATTTATTTAATATAGCTTAATTTTGCTTTTAGGATGGGAAGGAAAAGTGGATTTGACGGTGGAGGAGACGTATAGGAAGGGAAAATGTCAAGTTATGTGCGTCTCGTCTTCCGTCAATGAAGGGTAGGCAACGCATCTGCAATTGCGGATGTGTATGGGCGGCGGACACTTTCCATTTCGGTGGATTCAGGTGGCCGCTTATGTTATAAAAAAAATTGGTTCATAACCTGTATTTGTCAAGCGCTAAGTAGTCTATCTATTAAAGAGACATGCGTACATGTAATAAGTTAAAATTCATGTTAAAGTTTTACTTTAAATTTTTTATTTAATGACCAGTTTAACTTCGTTAAACTTACTAAAAGCAACAAAATTATACTAATTTATGTTAGTACTTTCCTATACTCGTACATAATAGTTAAATTCCATTTGTAATAAAATCTATAATGAATGCTTATTAATGTAAAATTTAGGTTAACGATCGAGAAGTCGTACGAACTACATTAGCGATCAATTTCCTACTAATACAATTGAATGAAACTTTTACTCAAACTGACAATTTGCTTTATAAAGTCCAAAACTAACTAATATCACGATGTAGGCTCAATAATTATTAGCAGTCACGCAAATGATGGTTCGGATCTCGATTCATTCTACAATTATACGTTAAAAAAAATTATGTCTGTTAGACACACATTTAAAGTAATAAAGACTTGGCAGTTCGTTGTCCTATTAGTTGCTTATTGCTAAGAGATAAGGATAACTTTGCAGTATAGAAATTGGTATTTTTCTAAACTGCATTAACAAATTTAAGGATTAAAAAAAAGCGTCTTCTAAAACTCTCTCCGAACTGATTAAAATAAATAAATTATTCTTGAGTCCTTTTAAAGCGTGGTTACTTTTTATTTATTTTTGCTTTTCATATCATGTCCTTATTTTGATGATTGAATGTGGATGGCTATAAAGGTAGAGGAAGATCGAAGAAAGGATTTTTCTTAAGAAGGCAGAGGATTAAGATATGAAGGCTGATAGAATTGTATGGAAGAGCAGCACATACTGTGCCGACCCCCTACGGATAGGGACAAGGGCAAGGTGATGATGATCATGACGTTATTTTCTTTGAAAATAATTATTCTTTCAGTTTTTTAGCAGTATTGTATTAAAATGAATGTTAAAATATGTCTATCCGTAAACTGTTTATAGTAGATGAGTAATACATGTTCGATTTACATAATAATTAGTTAGTTTTCAATAATGCTTGGCAGCAACTAAAGGTAGTCTTTTGTTATTCCGATGTGATATTTACTCAATGAATTCACATCCAGCAAATGCAGGCACAATTCGGGCACCATTTTCCACTCCAAATTTCTGTTTGTCAATTAAAATATTTGGAATCACTGAAATCATTGCAATGTCAGTTAATTTGATTACTCAGAAAACTCAACGATAAACGTTTAATTACAGTTTTATAACGTTCAATTTTATATTTTCACATAATTAATTAAATTAGTGCTTTATTCATTGTGATTTATGTTTTCTTAGTAGTCTTATTTTGTTTGAATTATAATCGAAGCAATGTCCATTATTTTAACTTTTTGGAGTTTTTAAGATTCCAATCAGTCATTAAATTATTACTAGAATCTATTAGTTATCATTAATAACCATTTCGTGTCATCTGAGATGTAAAAAAATGCGTATAGAACCGCTTTGTCTAGATATGCTATGCTAATGCCTCCAGTTCTTGGTACTAAAAATATAGTATGAATAATCGTCGATTTCATTGGCACGGCCGGTTGATTGAAGTCGCACGGTCGTCGTCGGTTACGTCTATTGGTATTGCGGGTCACGTAGAAAACGCTTCGGCTTGTTTGCGGACCACAATACCGATGTACCGGCACGTTATTGTCACCCTCACACTTCTTTAATTAACGATTTACAAGATATTTAGCACTATTTACTGCAAAACGTAGTAGTTTTCTTATATAAAATAAATACTCAGAGCCGTCGTCGTCAAAATTAAACTAAGCGCGCCAGTTAACATTAAAACGGAGTTATTTATTGCTAAACTTGCTTTTATCTCCCATAGGATATATCACAAGAAAGTCACCTACGTGATAGATAAAATATACAAGCAATAGTATCGATTTACATTGACAATCAGAGATATAGTGTTAATAATCCATCCAATCCCGCGAGAGTAAGCTCCCGACAAACTGAATAATTCACACGTATACATTGTTTATTTCTATTGACGTTTCCTTTAGTGTATTCACTTGTCTTTTCATAGTGCTGTGAGTGTTAGCTCATGTTCCCGTACACAATTTATGTTAAACAGGATTTAATAGACGTAGAGACATTATTACTTTGCAGAAACTTTGAAACGATCTTAAATAGTAAAATATTCAGTAATTATGTAAATATAATAATAGAGAAGTTGTTGTATGTTCGTAAAAATATTAGTTTTACAATTTTGATGCGTT